ATTTAAAGGAGTGTATGGGGCAGGGACGCCTGGGTGGCTCAGTCGGTTAAGCGTCTGACTCTTGGTTTCGGCTCAGGTCATGATCTTGCGGTTTGTGGGTTCGAGCCCCGCATCTGCCTGCTTGGGATTCTCTCACCCCTCCCCTGCTCGCCATGCTCTGTCTCTCTCTCTCAAATTAAATAAACAAACTTTAAGAACATTTTTTTAAAAATACAGGAATGTATGGGGCAAGGTATGGGTGTCTATGAGTATATGGGGACATGTGCACACATTCCGGTATCTTCATAGAATACCACGTTGATACATAATAACACAATAATCTTGAGTGCCGGGCATTGTGCTAAGCACTTGATACAGGGGTGTGGGTCCGCATAGGTATGCAGAGCATTTGCAACATACGCGTGTCAGTGTTGGAGGAATGCAATGGAACGTGTGACTATTCGTGTCATACCGGCAGCGGGGAATCCCTCCGTGTGCTTGCCCGGGGGTCAGTGATGGTGTGGGCCTAAATGTCAGTGAATCTGAGCGTATGTGCGCATGCACGTGTCTGCACGCGCGTGCACACGGGTGCACACCCACCTCCCTGTTCCCGGACGGATTGGTGTAATTGTTCGTTATTTATCAGCTGCCTGGGCTACGTGAGCCCCCTGCTTGCCCTGAGCTCGCTGCCACACAGCCATCAAGCCCACACACACATTGTGGTGACAGCAGCCTGCTTGGGAGGGGGGCGCCACTCTGCTCTCTGGAGCCACACTCTGTGCCAGGCAGCAGGGCCCCTGCCGGGGAACTGCACAGATTGACGACACCAGACTTGGAGCCGCAGGAGTGCTCAGCAGATGGGTCGGGCTCAGGGGCCCTGGGAGCAGGACAGACAGAGCTGGCACCTTTAGGTCCAGACGACCTGGCTCTAACAAGCTGAACCCAGGGCCCGGCCCGAGACTACCACCTTAGCATAATACCAGTCGTGGCTGCCCAGTGGCCAGGAGTGAAACATCCTTGCTCTGCTGCACCCCCACCGTGGCTCATCGCTGCTCTCGGGATTAAGTCCAAACTCCCTCAGGCAGCGCACAAGGCCCACACCTGGCACATACCTCCCAGCCCCTTCTCCCCCCACCCCTCCTTGCACCGCACCAGGCGGACTGGACTACTCACGGTCCTAAGATGCGCTTGGACCCATGGGTCTTTTCGCTGCCTTTCCCCTGTCTGATTTCTCCATGCAACCTCCCTGGCTGGCCAGTCCTGGCTCCCACGAGGTTCAGCTCACCTCCACAGGAATGCTTCCCTCGTCCTTTCTGACCCCCCCGGATTAGGGAAGAGTCCCCACACCCCCGACATTCCTGTAGGCCCCTAGATTCCCCTAGTATCCCGCTTCCTTATTCGCCCTCTTTTCTCCCATTGACTCGGGCCCCGGGAAGGGGCAGAGCATGCCTTAGTGGTTCATGGTTTTATTCCAACGCTTAGCGCGGTACCCCGTCATAGGTGGTCCATAAATACTTGTTAACGAATCGCTGCTAAAGCCTTTTGTGAGAGAGTGGCTCCCTTGAGTTCTCCACGTTACATCACAGCGTGCATCTGTACGGCTTTGGGTGTCTCAGATCTCCGGGCTGAGGAGAACTGCGCCCTCTCCCCAGTCCCTCTCCTTCATCCCATCTTAACGGCAATAATCCCCATCCCCGACTTCTACAAATGGAAGTCAACGACACGATCTTACGAATGGGCAAACTGAGACGCAGAGAGGTAAAGGGCTCGTGAACAGGATGACCATCCCCCGGTTTGCCCAGAACTTTCCCCGTGGTAGCACTGAGAGCCCCATGTCCTGGGAAACCCCTTCGGTCCCGGGAAAACTGGGACAGTTCGTCCCCCTTCTTGTCCACGGTCCTCAAGTGGCAGATCCAGGACGCAAACCTGGGACTCCTGACTCTGAATCATACACATACCCCTCCCTGCTCAGCTGCCTCCCAGGCCACCTCCAAGTTCAGTGACTTCGCGTGGGCATTGTCTTCCCTTCGGATGTCACATCCAGGCCACTTGACACGCTCCTGGAGGAGCTGTGCCCAGAAGCATGTACTCAAGGAATACAGGGCATTAATATTAACCTAAATCAAATATAATTCAGAACCTCATTTCTGGAGGAAAAGCACTGTACCTGACACAGAAGGGGAAAAAAAAAAAGTAAATCTAGCATAAAATAACTTTATAATGATGTTAAAGTAAATTTTAAAATTAAAAAAAAAAAACACCACTTTACCTGCAAATCGTTTTCCTTTCTCCACATGGCCTTCACCGTTCTCTCTTTACCAGTGTATCTTTTTTACAAAATTGCAACGCAGGACGTGTGTCGTGCTTCTTTTTAGCTCACGCGATAGAAATCTGGTTTCGATTTTCCTCATTCTGGACCCTCCGTGTCATTAACATCCCTCATTAGCCCAGATACCAGGGAGCCTGGGCTCAGGGCTGTCCCCTTCCTGAAGGACTCCTTCCTAACGCAGGGCCCAGCTGGGCTTCTGAGGGGCTGCCGTGTAATCGCTGTCCTGTGCATGTGTGCGGCCGGCAGGGCAGAGGGAGACAGCTTCTGCCGGATCCTGAAGAGGTCTGAGGCCCAAAGAGCTCAA